CATTCACAACTTATTTGTGCAATCACACCGCACATTCTTAATGCAGACAAATAGCTTGCTATAACCTCTCACTGTATCACAGAAAAGTTCTCAGTCAAAACCTCGAAAAAAACAAAATAATATTAAAATAATAAAACAAGCTCTCAACTCTCATGTGATGCCAACATCTCACTGTTCATAATATATATACACTCATGCAAACACAGCGTTCAACAAATCAGACTCACACGTCATAATAACAAACTTTCAACCGATCGTTTTTCGTCAGGGGTCAGAGGATCAAGGTCAAACCCTTTTAGATCCTCTTTTTTCTCAAGGTCACGCAGTTTGTTCACTTTTGGTCTGAGGCCTGATCTCACTTTGTTGATCTCAGCGTCCAGCTCGTCATAATCTACGAGGGGCAAAAACAAACCAACTTGAGTTGTAGATAAAAGGCAGTCAGTTACATATCAGCCACGTATGGCCAGCAACAGAACAGGAAAATAGTCACACAGGAAAAAGGTACATGAAGCAGACCCCACTGGCAAATCATCCATTACATCAACAAGCCTATCCAGCATTCCGAGACGTAGATTCAAATATAATATACCTAATACCGGGTAACATTGGAATCAAGAAAAGGCAGCCATCCTATCAAGAGTGGTTTAAGGCCCCTGGTTTAAGGCTCCTATCAAGAGTGGTTTAAGGCTCCTATCAAGAGTAAAAGGGACAGGACCTACGAAACATAAAGTCCCTCTCCAGTAGGATCAAGTGAAGTGAGTTGATAGCCTTGATAACTCTTCAAACAAACAAAGTTAGCCAGATCTGCACCATAGTTTGGCATGACACTGACTCAGCTTACCACCCATCTTCAATACAGAGAGCAAGAATTCCTGATGGTAAAGATAATATCTGAAGTTCAATAGCAGAGACAGCATCAACATCCTCCCCACGGAAAACTCTGAAACACCAGCATGCCTCAAAATGAAACATTAAATGATTAGCCACCATATCATGTCCACCACCTTTTAAAGTGGGAGGGACTCTCAGTGCTATAAGAAATGATGTCTCAAAAAATAAATGAAAGACTTGTCTGCAAAGCATGGGGAGATCTGTTTACTTTGCTAAGCACACACATCAGACATGGAGAAGCAGGTTCCTAGAATTAGAAAACAGTCAGTAAAAAAAGTTTTCGTATCATAAGTTTAAAAAAAATAAACAGAGAAAACAGAAACATGATATTTAAAGTTTCTGTGATCGACAGTTTTTTTTTTTTTTTTTTAGGATCACTAATTATACTAGTTTTCAATGATTACCAGTAAAGTCTCAAACAGGTAAAAATTTTCCAAAGACAAAGTCCATAAGCAGACCTTTTGTTTTAAAGGATCAAGCCTGGTCCTATGAAGTTAACAAGCAATCAGCCACTTGCAGTTTGACACATCTCCCTTCTGATAAGATGATGCGACATCTTACACATTACCAGACGTTGACTCACCTTTGGTCAAAGTGCTGATGGCTTTGCTCTTCTCCACCTTGAGAAACATGTTGCCAGCACACAACCACGTCTTGTCTCTATGCTTGTCTTTCTGCAGCGCCCTGCAATAGAACACAAGAACAAGAGATCTGTCAGTCAAAAAGCAATACTAAGGAGATTACTAAAATGCGAAAAGAGGTAGATTGGATTGAACAATCAAAATATCAAACTGAAATCTCATCTTCATTCTCCTACACTCTTCCTCCTCTTCTATCTCTTTTATGGAGTGACGTAAATCAATATGAACAGACATTTAAAGAGAGTTAAAAACAAAGATCACAGCAACAAGATCAGTCCAAATCAAAACATCGTGTAATGATGACTAGCGACGGGGCACATCACTTACCTAGGTTTAGACAGTATTTATGGTTAAAAGACACTTGTTAGACGGAACAAAACTACCCACGGATCTTTACTTTTAATGAGAGCCGCAAGCAGAGACTGCTAGCCAGTTAAGTTATTAATAATAATTATGTGAAGTTGACCTTTAACTGAGAAAATCCAGATCAGAGAGAGAAGTTCAAGGCAGAAATAAGGTGGCCTCCAAAGACAAGCCACGCCTACAGGGAAAACTGGTCTGAAATGACAGGCAGTTGAATGCCAGAGTGAACTACAGTACAGCCTGAAATAGTACGGGTTCAAAACCCCCTTTAACACTGTGTAAGGTTAATCGTCATACGTTTAGGAAAAAGAAAAGTACTGCTATCTGCGACGAGTTATGTCGTTTAGGATCATGAAAAGTTGCAAACTATTATTTCCTTCACTTTCCTCTCTTTACTATGGTAGTTACCCCAATAGCAGAGTTCATCCCTGGATGTTGAAGTCATCATCACATCACGACGGACAAACTATAATTTGTATAAAATATCATTTATGAGACAAGACCTCTAATTTTAATTATATGCTTGGTGGAACTGAGTCAAACCAGCAGAGACCCTCGAAAACCCACAAAACAAGCAAAGGCCAAATGACAGGTCAACATCTAAAAGTTTCAGCTGTCCTAAAAAAAATTCACACTTTCCATCACAGGTATCTGAACAAAAGTTAATTATTCTAATAGCTCAAACCTGACTGCCTCTCTTGTTTTATTTCGTTGTCGATCCAAATCAATAATTTCACGGCGACTGGAGAGGACATCTTCTGCAACCATTTCGATTTCTGTGAGATATTTCAACAAATCTGAAGCTTCAATTGATGAAAGACCTTCCTCTGCATCCATTCTTCTTTTGGTTTTGTGATGGAAGAAGTGAATTTGTCAGAAGTTGCAGCAAACTGTGGACAATACCATACGAACAATCAATATTTAGAAAACTTGAGAATAAACAAAGCAAATCAAAAGTCCAAGTGGCTTTTCCTGATGAGAGGGAAAAAAAAGCTCATCAATGCAATAATACCTGACCACCTTTCTCACTATCCTTGTTGAAAAAGCATTAAGAAACCCAACACAAAACTGAAAAGACGAACAAACCGAGACACTGACTTTGAACCCCAGACCCTCTCTCATTATCCTTGATGAAAAAACATTAGATCCCAACAAAAAACAATAAAAACCCAGACTCTGAAGCTGAACCCAGAGACCTATCTTTCCACTTTTCACATGCACAGGTCTTGCAACATTTGGTAAAACCCACACATCATTCATTGTATGGTACACGAAAACTTAGCCAGACAAATCTTGAACTGTGATCCCAGCACCAAATCCACTCTCATCATTACCTTGTGTGTAAGTTAAGTGCACGTGTTCCAACAATGGGACTAAAGTGTGTCATGAAAATGTTTTCACCATTTGACTTTGTAGAGAGCTCCGACACGATGATTTACAATCAGCAGCATTGGTGTCATCTCACCTAGATATTGAAAACAGAGTTCAATTTTAGGAAAATGTCTCCTATGCAAGAGTGTTGATTGAATTTTAAAGCACAAGGATCTTTTCCCAATCATTCTTGAAGCTCAGGTTGTTGAGTCGGTAACTGCCAGTCCAGAAGATAACTTGTCAAGACTACACTTGTGCTGCTAGGTCACTTGGTGTGGTTCACACACTTCAAACTGAATGACTATGTGATTAACGTCCACTAAGGAATGTCCTGTTGTTGACTACATCATCTGACATTACTCACTTACTTTCTGGGAAATGTTTTACTTTCAAAGAAATTACTAACTGTCCCATACATAAAATATAATATCTCTCTCTCTCTCTTGCCCTTTTAAACTCCCAGTGGAGCATATAGGCCATCAACAACATTACTCCAGCGAAGCCTGTCCTGTGCATCCTTTTCTATGTGTTTCCATGATGTCCCCGCTTTTTCAATTTCCACTTGTACCGCTTGCCTCCATGTCATCTTTGGTCTTCCCTTTTTACGTTTTCCTTGTGGGTTCCACGTAAAAGCCTGCCTGATGATGCTTGTTGGGGGTCTCCTCAGGGTGTGTCATATCCATTTCATATATATATAAAACGTAAAAAAAAAAGTTTCTTCCCCTGTTGAAGTGCAGTTTGATCCCATTCTTTGACTTCGTAAAAAATCAAATCCACGGTTCATAAATAGGCCTATTTCCAATGCGATATCTATAAGTTTTATTTTGAAGAAAAAGAATTTTACCTCGGCAGTCAGTAAAACTGACCCCATCGCACACAACGGTCAATGACAATCAGTGGCACTTTTACAAGTTGTAATGAACGGTCTACAGCAAATTATAAATAGCTGTATAGCAGGACATACTGACTGAATACACACTGTCAATTATAGGATTAAATTCTCTGTCCATGTTGCTCCCAGGTCATTTTATCCAAAATAGAGACAGAGAACGGAGCCGACGGAGGTGCATGCAATTATTGCCCCACACTAACTAAAAGTAAAACAACTAGTATGTGGTGACGTAGCATGGGTGTTAAGTTTTACCATGGGAAAAGATTGCCAATACGTAACAGCAGTGGAGCGTGTGTATACAACACGGGCTAAAAGTTTTCATCTGTGAACTGTCACTGCAACCCCTTAATTAACTTTTACAGAGTGTCCACGTACACGGTAACCGGGCCCGTAGTCTCAGTATTTACGTACACGGTAACTGGGTGCTTAGTTTTGGGGGCCCCTTGAGCTAAGTGAACGTTTAATGTAGGCCTATTCGTTGTTCTTTTGTTGCTTTAAAAGAAAGCTTTTGTCCAAGTTCTGGTTACTATAAGGGCCCGTCATCAAGACCTGTCAGTGAAACTTTCAAACGCTCATTTGCATCACGTGACATGACCTCTTACGTGTGAGTAGCGCGTGTGGTGGGGCCTGTCAGTAGTCGAGGTCAACAAAGTTCACTCACACTGGTCGCATTGGTCGATGTGTTTTTCGGGACTTAACCAGTGTGGGATGACCGAGGGGATGGGGAGGGGGTATTTTTTTGACACTTGGGCTTAAAGTGCGTACTGTGGTACATGTACTAATTGAGGACAAAGGAATAATAAATAAGAAAGAAAAAAGAAATAAATAAACAACTTTGGCGCGATCTATCTTTTTTTTCCGGGGGGGGGGGGGGTGCCTTGAGTGTGTTGCATTATTTCAGTTCACAGTTGTTTTTTTTATTTGTTTTTGTAAGTGTTTCACGGTGCTCGCAACTGCATAAGGTCATAAGAAGAGCGCGCGAGACACATTAAACTTTTTCAGTTGGTAGGAAATTTTAAATTTTGCCCGGGTGGCGGCCGAAGCCTACTCTTATCGATTTTAGACCACCACGGGATCTTTAACGTGCGCAACTTGCACACGAGCCCTCCGAGATTTTTCGCCCTTGTCCGAGAAGGCTAGGTGTAGATCTTTCCTACCAGAAGATCAGGGGTGCGGCTGAAAGACAGACTTAAGAAGAAGCCAAGGAGTAGCAGCAGAAAGGCTGTAGAAAGAATCAGGAGCCCAGAGGAGGGGGGCAAAGGAGATGAGGGAGTGGGGGCAGAAAGAGGAGACAAAAGCAGACGACAGAACATTGCTAGAGAGCAGGAAAGGAGGTGAAAGGAGACAAATTTAGAGAAGAAAACTTTCGCTCACTACCCGGATTCGAACCCGGGACCTTTGAATGAGAGGCCAACACCTTAAGCCTTAACCTCTAGACTCTAGCTAGAGAGCCCCCTCAGTTGATGAGTAAACAAGACGGGTGTGTACCATTATTCGGGTTCAAAATTTTAGGTGAACCTGTATACAAATAAATACAACAAAAAGCGGGGAAAAAATGAAAAAAGTAAAGGTCATGAAGGGAGTGGAGCATTTAATAGGCCTAACCGTGCTCCAAGCTCAAGGGGCCCCCGAAACTAAGCACCCAGTTACCGTGTACGTAGATAGTGAGACTACACGTACCGTACCCGGTTACCGCGTACGTAGGCGGGCGTAGACATTTCGTATAAACTAAACACTTACATGCAGAGATATATTTGAGTATAATCTCTAGATTTAATAGTGGTCGCTCGTTACGGAAGTCCTCCCTTTTAAGATATCTCTAGAACTTTAACTTCAGCTTTAATGCACTACGACAGAGTACGTCCACTACGTCCAAACACCGTAAACACATACTAGAATGAGAATCTTTCTTTCTATCTTCAGGTAAGGAGAGGAGAGCGAAGTTCTCACTGGCAAGTTTTGAAATGCCAGTTCACCCGAACTCTGTATTCTCACGATTAGAGAGGTTGTGATTGTGAATGATTAATATTCTTTTCTTTTAAAAGTTTCATCACTGAAAATATTTATTCTATTTGAATCAATGTAATCACATGCAAGGGATAAAATTATTTCCACTTGATGAGAACTGACAGTCGTAATCTCTCAAATATACATAAAAACTTAAAAATCCTTAAAACTCTCTGGCCACCACTTCTCGTAGAGAGTAGAGGGAAAAAAATGTGGCAAGTTTCATTTTCGCTTCCTGCATTGGCATTGTTTTCGAGCGGCAATGTGGTTTGCTGCTGCTGCTGGCCAAGTAAAATCTGATAGATCTAGATTTGACGCCTTCTTACCCCTGTAAACCCGACTTCAAGTTATGGCGTCCTTTATTGTTCTGACAGAAGAACGTAAGTGTTTTTGTATTCCGTTTAAGAACGGAATGAGTGAGCCTCAAGTTAGATTCTAGTTTGTTGTATGTAAATTGTAACGGGATCCGTGTTGAGTGTTGTAACAGTAACAGTCAGTAGTCAGGGACTGGGCGTCATAGTAGGGTGCTGTTCAGTGTAACACTGAGTGTACAGTGTACTAGAATCTAGTTTGTTGCAAAAGTAACAGGGACAGGGTGCTGTAGTACTGTATGATTATGTTAAAGTTTAAAGAATAGCACTGAGTAAGATTGAACTTTGGTGGACCCAACACTGAACTGAACGAAGCCGGAACGACTTTGAGCCTCTCTGTGCAATTGTCCGCTCTCCTCATGTTATTGTTTTGCATTTATATGTGCTTTTTTAAATTGTTATTGTTGCCAGGGGGCCCTGAAATCCCTCACTGTTGTATGGCTAGACTCTAGTGCGCACACGGTGGGTCCACCAAAGTTCAATCCAGCGAAGTTCTCAGTGGCAAGTTTTGAAATGCTAGTTCACCCGAACTCTGTATTCTCGCGATTAGAGAGGTTGTGATTGTGAATGATTAATGTTCTTTTCTTTTAAAAGTTTGTTTTTTCTTCTCTTTTCTTTTAAAAGTTTCTTTTTTCTTCTCAGTAGTCTTGAGTAGTACTTAAGTAGTGAGTAAACTTGAACTCTGAAATATGGAAATCACGGATAGCTCGTACAATTTTCCATTTCCAGACCAAGTGGGCTAACTATATTTTCTTTGTATTGGCAAATCTTTTCTTTGGAGGACTTCCATAACGAGCGGCCACTATGAGACAGAGTAGAATAAAAGGCTAGTAGAGGGTTTGGGTTAGAGTTGGTCTCTTCTTTATTGTGTTTGTTGGGGTGGTCGATCATTACGGAAGTCCTTCCCTTTTCACAACCACTTGTACAGATCTATAGATCTAGATCTAGATCTATATACAGTAGATTTTATCTATAAATAACCCTAATAGTTCGAACATAGAAAACTTGAAATCACACATTCATAGAATGCCCACGGTTCCATTTTTTTTCCGTCTTTATCTTTATAAGGAAATTACACGAAGCTCGAACACAATCACAGAATAGAGGTCCAAAGGTCAATGTCTTTGAGTGAGATGCACTTGAGACAAAAAAACAATAATTTTTAAAAAAGGAAAAAGGCAAGGTTGGTAAAATACCACCTTCCCCTCTCGGCAAATGCAGCTAGCTGTGCTTTTTTTAGTATGCTGCTCGACACACGTGCCTGGGCTTGTTGTGTGGAGCGGGTGAGAGGAAGGGTTGTGCATCACAAGATCTATTGTTATGCCCCTAAAGTTGCAATCTTTGTTGCTTCACTTGATTCCGTGACACAGCTGATGCTATAACACTGTTCACGTATCCCTTGAACTACCGAGGCCGGTCCCGACAAATTCGAGCTGTCTGTGTTATACTGTATGTCCGACAGTTAGACTAGGCGTCATGGTCAAGAGTTTATAATGGTATTTGCCTTTCATTCAATAGGTTCCGCATTCGAATCTGGACAGCGACGGAAAAAGTAAAATATTCTCAATTCGTCTACTTTCTTGCTCTGTAACTCTAACCTTTACCTTGTTCCCGTCGTATGCTTTCATCTCCACTTTTTGCCCCTTCCCCTTTGCCCCCCCCCCCGTAGGCTCCTAGTGGGTGGTTGGCGGGTGCTCTGGTGTGATCTACTTCTTTTTATCAAACATCTATCGTCTTTATCTCCCCTTCTTCTTTTTTATGTTTGTTACTCTCTTGTAACACCTCTAATCCTCTGGCGCTCATATGACCTTATGCAGTTGCGAGTGCCGTAAAACCTCTAATATTAGACCAACTCTAAGCGCCTAACTCTTTCTGCAGCCTTTTCTACTGCTACTTCTCAGTTCCCCCTCATTGCTGTCTTTCATCCACACCCCTGACTTTTTATGGTAGGTAAGATCTAACACCTAGCTTTCTAAGATAATGGCGAAAATTCTCAGAGGTCTCGTGCTCAAGTTGCCCACGTTAAGTGAACAGGTAGCTGATCTATATAACTTTGCTATTATAAGGACTTATTAATTCAAACTTTCCTATATCACTCAGTATAGTAAGGACAAGATAAATCTGTTTTAGAATATTGTGTAAATGTCTGTTTTTCAGTGGTAATGGCGGCCATCCTGAAAATAAACACAAAACGTAAAGTTCTGCTTAAATACTTTTCCATTTAGGAAGATAAAAATGCAACTGACAGGGATCACACAGTTTTCCCGCGATTTTCCGTGGTTGCGAGAACTTCCCAAAATCTGCTCCAGGGTCTTAACCGCATCAGCGGTCGTTCCACCACGGCCTTAAGTCGGGCCACGGTAGGCCTTGAGTAGCCTGAGATCCGCCCTAAAGTGCCCCACAATCCGCGGATTTGACTAAGCTCTGCCTATTGTAGTTCGGATGCGAGTCAGACTGCTCGGCGAAAAAGGAAGTTCTCAACAGTATAAATGCGCTCTCCTTTGATTGGAGGTAAACTGGAACTGACCTTAAGAACATTCATTTTAATGCAGATCTGGGTAACTGACTATTTTATTTTACCAAATTTTTTCATGTAGTCTATATAGATATTTTTAATGAAATTTTTAAATTTCTGTATTTTAAGTGGTTAATTTTTAACCAATATTTTTCAAAGGGGGCCTGAATTTTTATTTATTTTTTTCGATAAGTTATCAGGGAAAAAACCTGTCTATTACCCAGATTTACATCTTATCATAATAATATGTGCAAAGTTTAAAGGCTATAAACAACTGAACTACGACATCATCCTCTCAGAAAATCAGCTGTACAATTTTAGCATGAAAAGTAGCAACACAAAAAGGCAATGTACAAAGAAAAAACTTTAAAATATTTTTTATAGCATCCTGCATTCATTTGGAGCTGTTGGGGTCGATTCTAGAGACATGAAATAAAAGAAAAATCAAATTAAAAAAAAAGAAAATATTTTTCACCCAGATACCGGTAGATGAAAATCGGCCTAAACCCCAGCTGCCTGTCCCCTTAAAGATCCCTTGGTGGTTCTAAAATCGGTAAGAGTAGGCTTCGGCTGACACCCGGGCAAAATTCAAATTTCTTACCAACTGGAAAATATTTAATGTGTTCCCTGCACTTATATGACCCTTTGTTGAGCCGTGAAACACACACACACAAAAAGACTAGACCTCGAAAAGTCGGATCAAATTTTCCCTCACAATTTTGTCTCGAATTCAAGTCATCCTGCGGGCACGAAGGAAAACACATCCTTTGACATCTAGACTATCAAGTTACATGAGTCCACCAGGCTTGCCCACACTCAGCATGATGCACACACTTCTGGTATTGAAAAATGTGGTGACTAGAAGTAGACGTTGCTTCAGTTTAGTCATGTGAGGGTGGATGCTGGGTAGAAAGGTATGAGCAAAGAGACAGACAGTGTAGCACTGCATTGGTTCATATTATATGGTGTATAAATTTATGCTTGTGTGTATATAATGCGTGTGTGTTTGTTTGAATGTGAAGGTGGGCCCTATGGATCGGGAAGCGGTTACACATTAAGTGACAATAGTGGAGGGTGGGGTGCTTTGATCATGTTTAGTTACATCGTCATGACTGTGATCTAAGTAAGAACAATATTAATAAAAAGAAAATTTATTAAGTTATTAAAGGCTCATTGGCTTCACTTTTTTCCTTTCTCTTGTTTCAACACTGAACAAAACACACAGCTTGTATTGAGACCTCTGTATCTGTAATGTAAAGTTGTACGGCACTTGAACTTGAGTTGAACTACCTTGAATCTAGTGATGTGAGGGTTGATAGTGGGGTGCAATCAAAGACAGACAACAATGTGGTGCTGCATTGGTCCATATATGGTATATGAATTGTGTTTGTCATACACGTGTGTGTGTGTTTGTAGTTATTTGAACCCTAAGGTATGGATCAGGACGGGATGACACAAGAGGGGTGATTGGCATGCTCTGACCCATTTTGGCAACACTGTTATGATTATGATCTGTCGTAAGAGCATTCTTTTTTAAATCAAATTTTAACAGAGATTGATTTAAGTCCTGCACTACGTAAGAGGGCAATTTGTAAGAGGTTTGGTATCCTGTTTGTAAAAAAATGAGATAAAAAAATCGAAAACGCCACCGATGGATGTCAACCTGAGAGTTACTCCCCTTGATTTTCTTCTATATCTTTCTCTTTAAAAAAAAATTAATATGATTTACAGTTAACAGTAGTTTACTCGAAGTATGGATAGTTGGACATATTTACTGTCAACCCCTGGCGTGTTTGGGATATCTGTGCTCGACTGTATCTTCTTTGGTTGGTCCAGTTCTCACTTTCACTGTTCTATTGTTCTCTACGCACTGTAATTTATACTGATTGTATGTAGATTCACTGATGTGCTTAGCTTTCCTTCTGTTTTGTACTAGAAAGGGGGGGGGGGGGGAAAAAAAAGAGGAGGAGGAGGAGAAGGAGGAGGAGGGGGGGGGGGGGTGACAGGTTTAATTACATGCGCTGGTTATGTTTTATTAATAGCTCATTCATCAATGTCTGACAATGAGTTCAATGACCAACCGCAAAGGAAAATATCTTCAGCAAAATAGAAGAATTAGAAACATTTAAAGGTTAAGATGACTTGTGGTGTCTGCTATGACCTGGTGAGACCATATGGCAGAGAAAGTTTGCCACATTCTGAATATTTAAAAGCTCCGCTTTCATTTGTTTTACCAAAGTAAACATAATTTAATACGGGCATAGTTGGTTTGTTTTTAATATGACTGAGTGGGTGATTGGTAAAACTATGTCGGGGGGTGTTATGATCAGGTTTTTCTGTTTTGTCACTTCATATTTTTTTTGAACTTTTAGATTTGTTTCCTTTCTCTACAACGTAGAAAAAACCTCCTTAACTGACTTATACAGTACTATGTCCATCCGTTGACTATTCATGTGTGTGCGTGTCCAAGTTATATAAGTGTGTGTGTTTATGACAGAGAGTGTGTGTGTGTGTGTTGATGAATGCGCATGTTTGAATGTAATCTCCTTGCCGCAACAAATTTCTCTTTGCAGAGTAAGAGTCAAAGAGATCCGTAAACTGTTATCTTCTATATCAATCTTACATTTTTTTTCTTTTTGTAATCAGAGCAAAGATTGCAGAGAGAGGCCCCTCCTGAGGCCGTGCTGCGCTGTCTGACGTCCGAACTCGGCTGTCTCACCCGACAGGATGGTTCTGCCAGCCTGTCACAAGGGGACACAACTGTAACTGCAGTGGCCTACGGCCCTGCAGAAGTGAGGATGGCTCGAGAGAGAATTGACCGAGCTACTGTGGAGGTGGTGTATAAGCCGAAAGTGGGCCTCCCAAGACCCGTAGACAGGAAGAAAGAAAACATAATTCGGAACACGCTGGAAAGTGCTATCATGGGCAGTGCTCATCCACGCTCTGCTATTTCTGTTATCATTCAAGAGACGGAAGACTTGGGTTCAAATCTTGCTTGCTGCATCAATGCAGCTTGCCTCGCCTTGCTGGACGCAGCCGTCGGTTTAAACTTCATGGTGGCAGCTGTTGCCTCCGCTGTCATGGAGGATGGGAAGATTGTGACTGACCCAGAGAAAAAGGTGGAAGAGAAAGCCGTGGCGGTTATGACATTTGTGTTTGAGAGCGTGGACCATAAGCTCGTATCAGTTCTGACCTATGGCAAGTTTACTCAGGAGCAGTACAAGGTGTGTCGAGATCTGTGTCGTCAGACAGCTCAGAGTGTGTTTGCTTTTTACAGAGAGTCCTTGGAAAAGAAGTTATTAAAAACTGTTTGAATTTCTGAATTTTGCTTTTTTCTCCTTTTTAAAAAGACTTAATACATGTAAGGTCTAATTCTATACTATTAAATACAATATGTTAGTGAAACAAGAAAAGCAACACGAATGATGAATGTGGACATGGTGTTTGTTAAGGAGTAGGCTCATAGAATGAAATATATTTTAAAAATTAAAAAAAAATGAAATGCAGGCTTAAACACTTTAAGCTCTTTTTAACACAGTTTTGATTATCAGTTGGGAAACCTGACATAAATTGCTGTGGCATGAACAGCCTTCGGTGTTCTTTTATTCCTATCAGCTTAATTAAACACAGAAACTAGATTTCAAAGGTGTCACCTGCACCATAGTCCAGTTTTCTTGCAAACAAGGTTTTTTTGTACTCCTGGTTTTACAGTCTTGCACACACTTACTCATAATGAAATTGGTGGGACATGAACATTTTTTCGTTGGGTATGAATTTCACTCTTAGTTTATGCATTTTAAATACAGGTGAAATGGTATAGGCTGAACGCCCCTATCAACACTATTAGGTTATTTAAGAGGTGGGGCCTCAGAGTTCAAAGTCCATCTCCAAAATGGCAGAGTCTAATGGGAATTTCATGTAAAGTGTCTTTCCCAAGGACACAACGTTGGACAGAGCTGAGACTTGAACCCCAGACCTAACAATCTCTGTGGGTCTGGTATCCTTTTCTGTGCCACACGTTCATGCCTTGAGCAAAGTTTTCCGTCGTAATGAAATAGCTAACTGATAGAGACTTTGACAACTTGTCAGAATTCTTTGATTTCTGATTCCATAGCAATAGCAGTTTTTCGAGGGAATGAATTTTAACACACTCCTTAGATTTGCTTAAATACACATTGCATATTATTTGATATTTGTGTGCTTAAAAGATAAAGAAGGAAAGCAAATCCCTTTGGCTTTTGCTTATTTTCTTTTATCATAAAATATGTAGGATTTTGTTCTTCCTGTATAACACAGGGAAGTTTTTCTCCTTGAGATAAGTGTCAGCAGTGTGGGTGCGTTCTAGTTTGCCTGGAAAAACTACCAGTTTACGTGGGCTCGAAGTATGTCATGTAGACTAGATCTTTTTTGAGCTTTCGGACAAGGTTCCAGCAGTACACATATGTATTTACAATGATAGTGGGAGAGTCAGAATTATGATTAAATGAAAACCCTTTGACACATTATGAGCACTCTCTGTTTATTCGTGATCATGTTGTACTGCCCTAAGGCTGACTCACTGGAATGCTCATCAGGCATTTTTGAATTTCTTTAATTGGAAAAATTATCATGGTTCTCCTCGTTCTTACTCTTCTCTCATAATTCCTGTTGGCAATGATAGATAAATCAGAGGCCATGTCTTTGAATGAGTTGACTGTGTTGAAAAGGGTATTCAAACTACTAGTTACTACTCCCCATGCAACACTGCTGCTTAAAAGAACTAAGAAGAGCTTGGCTTTCTCTTTTTTTTTTACTTTAGATTTTTAATAAAATTACATAGGTGTTACTTTTAATTTTACTCCCTCATTAACACAATTTAGGTGATTTAGGAGGAGGGCTTTGACCCTGCATGTCAGGGCCAACCCGGCCCTAAAGGGATACAACATCTCAACAAGAAATAAGAAGGCAAAGATGCTTGATAAAACTTCTCTCCACGCTGGAATGGAAACCAGAGTGCGATGATGGAGCGTCTTACGGCTAGCACACAGACACCAGTTGGCTTACTACATGTACTCTAAAAGTTTGAGTTTTGAATGCACTTTGCTCTGACAATCATACAATGGGTCAAATGGACTCAGTTTAAAACAACATTTTTTTTCAGTCAAGTCGGGTGTTGAGGTCATACAAAAGTAAACTGTCACTGTCATATATATATATATATATTATTTATCTGAAACAGATGGAAAAAGACTTGGCCAAATCTCTGGAAATATCTAACTAGTGCTAGTCACATGTACGATATATTTGCTTTTAGTTTTAGTATGTCTAAGGTGATCAGATATACTACCATACCATTTTAATGGTGAGCTGGCCAAGACAAAAGATAATATTATCAGTATCAGTCGGTCCTACCGGAGAGTGGCATTAAATTTGAAGGTCTTGTCTCTTTCTTATATAACCTTACAGTGTTGAAAGAGGTGTTAAACCCCCCCCCCCCACGTCGTAATTTTTCAGTGACTTAGTATAGGCCTATACCAGACCATTATTTTAGAAACTTGCAAAATATACGTTTTTAGAATTTAGGTGGCTGCAACTGTTTTAAGACATTTTGTGATATATTATCTAATCTATACAATGACAGTAGTGTCTATGGTGTAGCGGTCATACAGAAGATGTGCTCGGACCCGGAGTGCGAACTTAAAAAAAAAAGTTTTCACGTGGAAGCGTCTCGGCGGTCTTAGGAGGAAATCTACCAGCACTGAAATGTTGGGACAAGGCGGTGTTTAATTTATATAATTAATACCAGAGCTCGTGGGCAGCGGAAAGGGGGGGGGGCGGCTCAGATTGTTCCTGTGAATGAGGGCACGCTGCCATGCCGATGAGGATAAGATTAAGAAGGCCCTGGTTGTGCTCTGGTGTGGTTTGCTCGTTCTTTCCTTTCAAACTCAAACAATTCAAACATCTATCGTCCTTATCCCTACGTTTCTTTGTATATTATTTTCTAGTTCTAGTAACAACCTGTAATTTGTAATCTTCAACTTTGTCTATGGCCTATTCATGTTGCGAGTACATGTACCGTAAAATTCACGCGTACTGAAACAAAAGAACTTGTCAGCTTTCAAAGGGAAATTTGTCGGGAACTGAACATCTTAGCGTGGTGCTATTTGTAGTTGTAGAGACTACTTCATGTTTTGACCCCTTTGCATCTCCTTACTTTACAACCCGGTATGCTAGTGGTTATACTAACTTATACAGTGGCCCATATTAAATAGGCTCCGTCATTGTAAATGAAAAAAGTGAGTTCGATCCCAGCGTGGAGAAGTTACACAGTTACATGTATTGTGTCGAGCTCATTAGGTTTTTCTACTCCGATGCAATAGCCCCTTTAGTCCAGGTCGGCCCTGCCACTAAGCGGGGTTAAAGCAGCCCGCGTCCTAAAGAGTGAATGTGAGGCAGCGTGGTGGAATCAGGCTCTCGTCAATTTTAGGGCATGTAGATTTACTGGTATCACTTTAAAGCTTGTTCACTTGTCTTTATTGGGATGAAAAAAATATCCATTTATCTTGAATAAAAGTCGAGATATTTGCGAAAGAAGGAGGTGGGGGTCACCTGTTTTCAGAGGTAAAATTAGGGAGAAAATGGCCGCCAAAGATTAGTTATTTGCTTAGCTTAAGAGTCTCTGGTAACTGAAAATTTACATTTTTTTGTGCCTGTAATCAACGTTTTTCAGAAAATTCACACATAAATGAGTTCTTTAATGGGCATGAAAGGTGTTGATCCAAAAAACACAAATTCGATAAAAATTCACAAACCTGCGGAAAAATTCAAGTTTCTTCACTTTGATTATTTTGACGAAAGCCTGATTCCACCTTACTGCCTCATCAATAGTCTACATTTTGTCGATGGGAGCGAATCATCGTACCGGGTGCCTATAGGCAGGATTGGATCGGGTCGATTAAATTACATTAATTAATGACGGCTTGTCAGCACGCGCCTATTATTGATTATTCATTTCCATCGATGAAGTCTTCCTTCACACTTCAATCAACAGAGTTATCTGATTTGTCACTCCCATCATCTATCTCTTCCCTACCTTCGTCTATCTTGTCACTCCCATCAACAAACTTGTCATCCCCATCAACAATCTTGTCACTCCCATGGACAAACTTGTCACTTTTATCAACTTAAACTTGTCACTCTCGTCTTTTATCTTGTCACTCCCACTCCCATCATCTATCTTGTCACTCCCCATCATCTATCTTGCCACTCCCCATCGTCTATCTTGTCACTCCCCATCACCTATCTTGTCACTCCCATCACATATCTTGTCACTCATCTATCATTCCCACTCCCATAATCTATTTTGTCCTTTCCATCATCTATCTTGTCCCTCCCATCATCTATCTTGTCCTTCCCATCATCTATTTTGTCCCTCCCATCATCTATCTTGTTCCTCCCATCATCTATCTTGGCACTCCCCATCATCTAT